CGAGTGGTGTTACAACTGTGGTGAAATTGGACATCTCGGAGACGTGCGTGCACTCTTTTCTCACTCTCTTCCGGCTCAACTGAGCGCATATATGCAGGACTGTGACGAACCCCATCCTTACGACGTCCCAAAAGAGTCTTCCGCGTTTGGGTCGTACAACGTCTCGTCTGGTCCCTTCTTTGATCCTACAGCCGAGCCTGAACGACCGAAGAAGCGGAAGAAGCCTACAGCGAAAGATGCTGAAGAGTGGGGCGACGCGCACGGGTTCGTCTTACCTCTCGACGTTGGTAAACAAGCACGGAGGAAGGAGAAAGATAGGCTAGCGAGGAAAGCGCGAGATGCAGAACCCGAAGGTGAAGATGATTGGTTCAACGGTTCCGGGTCGCGTGGTGGCGGTGGAGGCAGGAGTAAACCATCTCTGGCGGATCGGATTGGTGGGAAAGGACCACCCTCCATGCCTAAAAAGATGCAGATAGGCAAGATCGCCCAAGACGAGAGTCGCTTTTCGCGAGGGAACAGCTCGAACAGGGGAGATCGAGATCAAGGTCGTTCGCGCTACGATGACGACCTCCCTCGACCTGGACGCGAGACAGATTCGATCCAGATCCGGGGCGCGTCGAAGCGATATCCAGACGATAGGTCTTCAGGTTCGAGGAGGCACTCAGACAAGGACAGGGACAGGGATTGGGGTCGAGACAGAGACAGAGATCACCGGAGGGACCGCTATGAACATGATAGGTATGAGAGAGGACCGAGAAGGGATTTTGGGGAGTCGAAGAACGCGCCAAGGTACAAGGGAGGGTACCGATGATTGGCATTCATCTTCGAGTTGGAATTTCTTGTCATGCCCTCAGGCATCGTATGCTTGGTGCACATACTATTTCTTGCATATCTACTCGTGTCGCACTCTAGATCTGTAGCATATCTCTCGGTATCTCGTATTCTTGCCATCTTTGATCCAATGAATACCACATGTTTCCATGCGTTCCGCCTTCCACCACACATGCGACAATCAATTCGATGACAAGGTCTCGTTCGTAAGAGTCAGGTAGTTCTAGTATACACAGAGAGTATTACCGTCTGATAGACGTTTGCTGTATGGATGGGGTTGTGTCCTGTTGTGCAAATATACATCATATATTGCGTCCAAAAATGTGTTCACGCCGGTGACACCAGAAAGAGTCGAGAGAGAGAATGTTGAGCAAAACGCAGCTCAACAGATGAAGGCTGACCGACGATCGCTGTCGTCTATGATCCAACGACCAACATCAGCTCGTCACCTCGATGAGGAGCCTTCACCGTACAGACCACCGTCGACGTCTTGACCATTCGCGATTTTGGTCAGCAGGGTCTTCAGCTCATCCACATCGGCGCGCAGACCGTTCCCATTCGGGTCGTCTGTAGGCGGAGATCGACTCTGACCGTGGTTCTCGGGGACAGTGAGCTTCCCGTCATCTTGCTCGAGCCAGTCGTCGAGCTGCTTGACGAGAGTGTCGGCTTTGATACGGAAGTGCGTGCGAATGACGTCGGCGAAAGGTTCTGGAGGGTTCTTCAAGTTCCCGAGCATCTGAGAATGCGGATTCACGAAGAGGACAACTATTTAGCACTACTGCCACGCTTGAAAAGGTATAGAAACGTACCGCTGTCTTGACCACCATCCTGCGGACGTTGGCGGAATCTGTCATGAAAAACGTTCAGCAAACGACGCTCGGAGCGTTTGGTTTCGCTTTCGACTTACAAGCTTTGGATTGCGGTGATCCTGAGCCATTTGCCCATGCAGGCTCATTCAAGTACGGCTCATCGCACAAGATCATGGACTGGATAGAGATCAGGACCTGGACATGAATTGAAGTGAGTATCGTAGTCGATTGGAGATAGGCTACTGTTCTCACTTGGAGCAACGTAGACCTTCCGGCCACCCATCCCGGCCCTTGCCACGTCCCGAGCAGTGACAGACAAACTTTTCCATCCTGAAATAGCGATATTTAGCAAATGGAGGTACATGGAATACGAGTGCCGTATACTCACAGCATAGAGATTAGGGTTGAACCGGAATTTTCCGCCGTTCGTCTACCAGAGTCCGATAGTCAGTTCTTTTGTAACGCAGCCGACACGACCACGATACGCTTACTGTGATGTATTTGACACTCGGTGGTGCTTGGTTGTAGCTTGCACCTAGAAAGATGTCGAACAGATAGCTAAATGACAGCTGACTCAGTCCCCTCAAGTAGCTCTACTGAAGCCTCTGTTCTTACCATCCGTTGTAATATCTGCGCAGACGAGCAATGAGTGTATGAGAAGTGATATATAGGAGACCACAGTATGCGACTCACGGTGTCCCCTCTGGTCCAGTTATCAGAGCTTTGATGACGTCAACTCGGGACTCATCAACTCTCAGGAAGACCGATGAATTCCACGCGACAGGAAGGTTTGTCGTCAATACCGCAAGCTGTCAGACAAGCGGAGATGAACTACTGAACACAGCATGCATCATACTGAAGAATACTCACCTCCTTCGCGATGGCCAAAGAACGCTTGGGAATATCGGCATTCGCAAGCATACGCGCTTCGTTATTGTACACAAACTTGTAATGCGGTGCTTCATCCTTTCCCGATGGGCTTACGATGGACAAGTCACAGTATTCGAATCGGACCCGGTTCGCCCAGTCCAAGTACGCCTTCTGCGCTTCCTCCTCCGTCTGCCCAGCGTTGACGATCAGCTCTGTATCGGTGGATGATGCTCCAGGGATCTTCGGTAGACTCGCGTGCAGCCTCTCCACGAAGGCGTCACCCTTCGTTTCGCGCAGAGACCGATCAATAGCCTTCGCCGTGGAGATGATGCTCTTACAGAACCCGAGCAGCTTCTGGTTCTCCTCGATGACGATCCTCCCGTCATCACGCCCCTTGCCCTTGTCATCCTGTGTCTGGCGCTTCTGCTCCTCTGTCATCTCCGTATCTTCTGGCTCGCTGTCGGGCTTCGCAGGCTCAAGACCTTTAAGAGCCGCTTGCGCCTGAATGACGATGGCTTCCAGGAGTTCACGGGGTCCTGAAGATCCTTCGTAGGTGATAGTGCGCTCTCGGACGTACCCTTTGCCTGTCCCGGCCCGCTTGTTTGCTAGAGCCTTCGCCGACGTCACGACCATGATTGGCATGGCCATCATGCTTGCAAGTGCTTCGTGGCATGAGATTGTCTGCGATGTATGATCGTCAGGTCGCAGAATGTTGCTCAGAAATGATACTATGCGCACCTCGAGCCAGTTCAAAAGCTCAAAATACAGCACTGATCGATCCGACATATCCGCCAGAGAATCGTTACGCAGAAGTTGACTGCCGACAAAGTTGAAACGTCTTCTGAGGTGAGCAAGTGCCGTTGGATGGACGAGATAATCACTGGGTTTGCCACCACCTTCTCGGTGAATGGATGGAAGATAGACACGGATGTCGGTGAGCAATTGAGCAAGCTTCTCGTCTTTCGCGCGCTGTATTCTTAAGGCTTCGGCGTGACCGGAGTTCTGTAAGGACATCAGCATGTACGGGTCGTAAGATACGGTGGCTACTCACATCTTCCCTGGCATCTCCAGCGTACCCAACGCCCAGCTTAAGCTTCTTCGTTTGGTTGACAGGAGGATATACGTCTTCGTCGTCGTCATCATCATCGAATGCTACAGGTACGGGAACAGCCTCGGCTTTTCGTCTCTTACCAGTTGGTTGAGGGATCACTCCGGGTGTTTCTTCAATGAACGACTGTTCAAGCATGGCGAGCCCTACACCCAAAATCACACCCTGTAGATTGGGGCAATGGAAGAGCGTATCATCGTCACTGCTTTGACCTTCGTTAATCGGCTCGCCACAGGCGAAGCAGAAGCGTTTATGGCATTGAGCACATAGTCGAGGTACGATGGTCTTCAAATGCTTGATGTACGTTTGGAATTCGGCCTGCCATGCCGCATCAAGTGTGGATCAAGAGATAGAAAAGATGCGAAAACGCTGTCCACGCACGAATATAGGGAAAAAATCGCGTTTCTGACGCGAGATGGAGGTCTTGCATCCATTCGGGCACCGACAGGTTCCGTCTGTGAGTTCCTGATACAAGCTGAACAAGAAGCTCTGTTCTCCGCCCTCTGGACAGCCTTTCATCCATTGACCTTGAGTCATGAGCTTGGCTTTCTCGTCGGCATCCGGAACAAACACGCTCTCGGGTTCCTCTTCTACTTCTATGACTTCCTCGCGGCGATCCTTGGAGAAGAAAATGCCTGCGTGACACCTGAGTAGCCGGACGCGTGCTCACGTAGGTACGACACACCTGCATATGGATCTGCATTGGACGGCCCTCGTCCCGCTTCTGCCTTGGCCTCATAGTCTGAGTCGTAATCGGCGAAATCCTCGACTGCATCAAGCTTGTCACGACGTGCATATCCCATAAACTGTGTACAACGCACCATCATCCTCATCATAGTCGTCGTCATCGCCATCCATATCCTTGTCTCCATCTTCATCCTCGTCCTCGTCCGGTGTCTAGAGTGAGATGTGATCAACAGACTGCGCGCGAAGGATCTGTCTCAGACTCACCACCATACGCGGCGCCTTGGGCACGTCTCTAGCTGGAGCCATGTTCACATCGTCATCCTCGTCGGCAACGTTATCGTAACTTCCGTCGAAGATACGTTCTGCAGCTTCCATAACGTCTTTGTGTTGCTTGAGAGCAGCCCGCGCCTGGGCTCGGGTGGCACCCTAACACGGCCGACAGACAGAGTGAGCATCGCGATGAATTACAACTCAAACGCGTCACAAACGTACCATTTCGATAAGCTGCTGTACCTCCCGTTCCATGATGGTGAGCAGAAGATTGAGACGTTGCCACGAGCGAGGAGATTGAGAGGACAAAGCAAGAATGGCCTCGACGTGCTCTGCTCAGGCGCATGCGCGACCCGTTAGGCGCCCATATGCCGTGATGCCGTCTGCGTATGCCTCGTATTGTGTATTTCCTGTCCTATCAACAGCCCTCGATAGCTCAGTTGGAAGAGCGCAAGACTGTAATGGTAACATACCAGCACTGCGCGGAATCTTGATGTCGCTGGTTCGATCCCGGCTCGAGGGACTGCTTTTTGCGTCTAGTTTTGATTCCGGCACACGCGCGGCATTATCCGGCACGCGCTCGGCATTATTCGGCAGGCTTGACATTTCAATCGCCGCTTCACAGCCAGCGGTTTGTCACCCATCACGTACGGTCCCAGCAGGCCTTCAAGATCAAAGGGTGCGTTCACCTTTGTCCGACTAGGATCAAAGTATTCCGGCGTAAACAGCGATGCGACATGCATTGCGTGAATCCCATCAGGTTTGCCGTAGTAATGATCGTGAGTTCCCGCTCATCTCGTCTCAGAACGCCAAAACTGCTGTACTACCTACTCACTTGTTTGTGTGTAGCGTCGTATTTGAGCTAACATGAACATCACCCTCGACGCGGGGTAAACTCGAAATACTCTGTCTTTGCTTGACGACGGGCTTGTGGTTGTGCTCTTTGCTCGCCTGTCCTTGAATGGTATGGATCCCGCTGATGCAGTGTCGTCAGTCCTTTCGGAAGTTCTAGTACAATGTGTAGCATCAAGGAACGGCCCACACAGCCATAGAGGCGTTCAGGCATTGTCTGCCTTCCTGCTTGGATCCTGATTCTCTCTTGCCTTCCCCCTTGTCTCTCCTCGTCGATGGAGCACGGCGTCGACGCGAACCTCTCTTAATACTCGCTTCTCGTTCTTTAATGTGCTATGTCGCGCTACAACGACACTGCAATAATTCTAGATGACCAAGATTCTGGGATCACCTACTCGGGAAATTGGCAGCATATACCGCCTCTCAGCTCGGATACGGAAGAGTACAAAGGGACAAAGTCAGGCGCAGGTCCTGCTGGGTTCACGGCGACGTTCAAGTTCACGGGTGAGCATAGTCCTTTCATCTGCTTCAGAAATATTCTTGACGAGCTTCACAACTCCAGGAACCGCTGTTGACGTGTACGGATCGCAAGGCTCAGTCGACGTCTATGGCGTGCCTTCCACGACGTATACCGTCGACGGTGTCCTCATGGCTACCTACCATCAACCCGTCATAGATCCAGGGTTTTACACGACGAATACCCTCTTCTTCCGCTCAGCGCCGCTGACGCCCGGTTCTCATGAGCTCGTTATAAAAACGACCAACGGAACCAGTCCAAACGTTTATTGGCTCGACTACATTATCTATTCTCCGTATAATTTCGTCACGACAGCGAACACAACAGCTCAAACGGGTCCACCTCCCCCTTCTAGCCAAGGGACCGTACACCCCACGTCCAGCTCATCGAGCTCTTCCACGGCACTTTCGTCTACGGGGACGTCTCTTGCGCTTGGCACGACTCTTTCTCAGCCGTTGCCGTCTTCTGCAAGCGCCAATGCATCGGCTGCCTCAAGCAGTCTTTCTGCAGAGAACGGTGCGGCAGAGCCAGCGAACGCAACTGGAGCATCAGCTTCGCCCTCAGTGTCGGAACCATCAGCAATTGCTGCTGTCAGCGGCGCATCGCGAACTCCCGCAGGTCCGATCATCGGTGGGGTGCTTGGAGGGACCGTCCTTTTATCCTTATTGGTACTTCTTTCAATACTCTACCGTCGCAGGCAGCGGCAGAAGCGAGAAAGCATGGGGGACTCCGTGTTTCCGCCCTCGGAGCCGCAGATGAGACAAACTGGCGGTGGATATGTACTGCCCAGTAATGACACCTTTGACGGTATGTCTACCTGCTTTGTGCTTCGTTATCGCATCACTTACCGTGAACATCACAGTGACATCGGAGAGCGGTGCATACAGTGGCTATATCAGTGAGCATGGCAATGCAGGTCGAGTCTCCGACCCTCTGGGTTATACAAACGCAGCGTCGGGTTACGGTGATCCATTCACTGATCCTGATGGCACAACAAACGGTGTCGCACCAGGCGGATTTAATGGATTCGGTGGCACCAGACCAAACCCAAATCGCACTTTCCCTGTCCCGAATATGACAACTCCTTCTGCACCAAATTCCGTGGAATCATCGGGACACTTACCACCCGCCGTCCCGTCCACTGGCGAGCCTTCACCCAATGGCCGACAGAGGCACATTGCCGTCTCACCCACCCCAAATTCTCCGCCTCCATCTCCATCAGGATACTCAGAACAGCATCTGTCTGTTGGGATTTTGCCATCCGTGGACACGACGACAGCAGAATTCCCATCAAAGTCGCGATACTCAACAATTCCGTCGTCCGTCGTGATGCCCTCTGCCGCGCTGGTCGCGATGCGGTCGCCACAGCAGCAAGCCGAGCTTGATCAGGCTGGACCTTTGGTGTTCAATCATGCGGATTCTGGAGTTCGGTTTCGGGGCACGACAGTTGTGGACATCCCTCCCGCGTACAGCTCGGTGTAGTCTCCTTCGTATGCGAGCCTGTCTACTGGTGCGCCTCCACCTCGCATCTGCCAACCTTCTTTATCTTACTCGTCGACCGTCTTCCGTTAAAATACCTTCTTCAAGTGGTCCCCTTTCATTTAGCTTTTATGATCCTCTGGTCTAACAATATCTATCTATTCAGCAGTTTTGATCCCTTTTTTCATGAGTGGACACCGTGGCTGCCTCCGTCCTTCTTGTTCATTCATGCTCTCCCGTGCCTTTGTAGTCAGAGCATACACTCTGACCTTCACCACTTTGATCAGGTATTCTCCGTGCGCACGCTTTATATGAGGTTGCCGTAGACAGCTCGCACCCATCGTGTATCGTTCGTACCCTGCCTCGGTACGAGACGTGTTCAGCTGAACAGAACCCGCCGCTAATATCACGTCCCTATAATCATGATGACCTGCTTGCTCCTTAAACACACGCACATTGCAAGACGAAGGCTCAAACTCTTGATACCTCCGGCCTCGCATCGCAGCATGAACTATATGGCATTGCTTCTTCAATGTCTGGAACAACTCGAATTAACGGAGTACAAACTGATTATCGGCAATAAGTACACTCTCATGGCTCATCGACAGCTATGCCAAGCTTCTCGACGTCTCCCAGCACCATGTTATCAATCAGCCTCGTCTTCCCCACCCACATCGCCCCACTCACAATCACCGGCCTGTCCTTCATATATTCACCCTCCGCAGAATCCAGAGCGTATGCCACCCTCGTCGTCGCGTCCGGTAACTGCTCGAACGTGTCAGGGTCGTTCAGCTCGATGTAATCCAGCCTCATTTCAATCTTGTCCGACGACGCGGCCAACTCTTCCGCTCTGAGGCGGACCAACTCCCGGGCGCGGATGATACACTCGGATTTGGGCAGACCGCTTTCCCATGACCGTCTGGCCTCTTGCAGAGCTGCATACAGCGTAGGTGCCGCGAGCTCACGTTCGGCGGGTGAGAGGTATGCGTTCCTGGAGGAGAGGGCTAAGGAAGTCTTGCGATCGCTGCGTGGATATCGTCAGTCAAAGCAAGGAGGAAAGCCATCTGGGATGGGACGCACCGACTGGTGGGTATAATATGCAGATTCTCGGGCGTAGGATGCGACAAGAGGAGATCGCTGACCATGCGTCGGAGTAGAAGGGCTTGCTGGATATCTTTCTGACCAAAATATGTCTTCGTGGGCTAGCGACATATCGGTTATTCGAATGCCACACGGAACCGCGCGATATCACGCACCTCCACTATGTTGAACAACTTGGTGACGACCGTCGAAACACCTCTGAAAAAGGTTGGCCTACTCATTCCTTCCATCTGCTGTCCATAGCCTTTCACCTCCACAAACGTCCCCTTCTGTGCAGTTACGTTCTGAGTAATGCCTGATGGATACATCTCGTGAACGGCGGGTAAGAAAAGCGCGGCTGTTGTACGAGGTACGGCGGTGTCGAGGTGTCTTGTTGCTTCGAGGACTTGCAAGTCGTGTTGGAGAGTGCGGGGGTACGTGGTGAGGTCTTCCGTAGGCGCAAACTGGGCTGGGTTGACGAAAATGGATACGACGGTTAAATCGTTCTCAGCCAACGACCTGCGAACTGGTGAAACAGGGATCGACCGTGAATCATGAGCCTGTTCCACAAAACAATAGGCCCGGCCGCTACTCGAGATAACAATAAACGAACGTACCTAGTGAGACATGTCCTTCATGCAACGCCCCCATCGTCGCCACAAATCCCACGGACTTCTTCTCGGTATATGCTTGCCTTCTCCACTCCCTGTATGCTTTCACTGTCGTGAATATGGGTATCGACGACTTGGGGAGATCGGACGAAGTAGCCATGGAGCGTCCCGGTCCCGAAATTTGAGACGGAAGTATACGTTTCAGTGGATGGATCCTGGTTTGTCTCCAGAATAGGGTAAACATGTATACACGACGGCGAGTAGCTATTTAGACCTGAATAGCCTTGGATGTAACAGTTTTAGTCTATGCTTGGCACTCCGCAAATTTTTTGGAGCTTACCACTTTCTAGTTGAGCGCAAGACGGAGCAAGACGTTTACGATAACAGCTACGTATCTTCGGAGCTTCGCAAACGTGACCGTAATACGCAGGACGTCGTTGAAATCCTACTTGAGAGAGAGGTGCGAGCCAGCGTGAATCTGATGTTGTGAAGAGGCCATGGTCAAATTGAAAGATTTGGGGAGGGGACATCGGGCGATTCGGTGTCTCGGACTCGCCACAAAAAGATTGGAAAGGATGGCATAGACGCTCGGACGGACTGGCTCAGACGGAGATTGGACGAACAAGCACAGCACAAACAAAGAACAGAGTGGCATCCTTCTATCGTACAAAGGGTATATCATAACATTACGATGTGTAATCCAGGCCTAAACAGAGCATGTGGTACGCATTCCAAATTTCCAGGTAAATAGACTGTGTGGGTAACAAGCCGGCCAGAGGTCTCGATCAACTTCGCCCTCCCTCCGCCTTCTTGAGACATGCTGGGCATCCAGAGCTTATCTTCGCGCGAATCAATGCCGTTCTGCGCAAAACAGTGACTACAGTCAGACACTGACAGGAAAGAATACCAAAGAGAGCTTGGACTGACCTCGCGACGCGTGCATTCATATTGGTATGACCCGTGTTATCCAAGTCGAGGTCAACG